AAAGGATTTGCAACCAAGTATTAAAACTGACTGTTTAATTGATGATTATGTTAGTTTGTCCAAATACTTATGAGCCCTTAAAGTCGGGGGACTGTGTGAAGAAATGGTTGTCATTCCTACACGGTTCATACTACATTTTTGAAAAAAGCCTTAAATGAAAGCTGAGAGTCTGCACTTTAAGCAGGTATTCATTGTTTCATTTAAAACCCATTGTGGTGGTGTACAGAGCCAAAATGACAACAACTGTATCATTGTCCAAATAATTATGGACCTGACTGTATATTGTCAGCATCACATTATTTTATCCTATTAGACATTTGTGTGAAATTTTGTCATGATTAGCGCAAGAATTTTTGAGATGGTGGGAAAAAAAACATGTCACAGTGACCTTGACTTTTGAACTTCGACCACTATATTCTAATCAGTTAATTTGTTGTTTCAGTCCAAGAGGACGTTTGTACCGAATTTGAAGAAATTCCCACGAGGCGTTCTTGAAATACTGCGTTCACAAAATGAAAAGAATGCAAGGTCACAGTGATCTTGACCTTTGGCCATCAAATTCAAATCAATTCATTTGAGAGTGGCTGTTTGTACCAAATTTGAAGAAATTCCCTCAAGTCTTTCTCGAGATATTGTGTACACGAGAATGAGATGGAGGGATGGAGAGCCTGAAAACATAATGCCTCAGGCCACGGCTATCGTGGAGGCATGAAAACAGGTTTTGTGAGGTCACAGTGACCTTCGACCACCAAAGTCTAATCAGTTCATTCGTGAGTCCAAGTGGACGTGTGTGCAAAATCTGGAAGTATTCCCTCAAAGCATTAATGAGATATTGCGTTCATGTAAGGAGAAGGATGCAAGGTCACAGTGATCTTGGCCTTTTGACAACCAAAATCTAATTAGTTCATTGTTGAGTTTAAGTGGACATTTGTGCCAAGTTTGAAAAACATTCCCTAAAATATTACGTTCATGAGAATGGGCCAGTAAAACCTGAAAACATGATGCTTCAGCATAAAAATCAATAATGTAGCGGTGAGTAAAACATGTGGTTAATGTATCTGCTCCAGTTGGTGAACATCATCAGCTGAGAGGAAATAAACTCTAGTTGATGTATGGGACTTTTACATATAAATGAATGTAACTCAACGTTCTGTTGGAGGAGGATCTAAGTCAAAAAGACTTGAGGAGAGTGCATCATTAAGGATTATGTCATCGTAGAACGGTGAAGAGGTAAAGTTCATTCTGCAACCACAAAACAGGGCAAACAATAATGATGGAGGTACCTGATGCCAGTCCATCCACAGTCAATCAGGAGCTGGTTCCTGTGAGGACAGTGTCCGATGACTCTCGTCAAAACCCTCACAGCCACATCGTCCAGAGTGCATGAACCAATCACAGACTGCTGCACATCTAGTAGACAGGAAAAGAAAAAAAACAAACAAGAATGAGACAGATGAGGTTACATAGACCAGACCGTTGACCACCAAAATCTAATCAGTTCATTCTCCAATGTCCAAATGAATGTTTGTGCTAAATTTGAAGAAATTCCCACAAGGCGTTCTTGAGATATCACAAACTAATCAGATTATCGTTGATTCCAAATTGACATTTGTGCCAAATTTGAAAAATTTCCTTTAAGGTGTTCTTAAAGCCGCTACAAGGAACTTTTAACTGGATATGCAAAAGTCTCTCGTTTCTGCTGATGTCTGTGCGTGACCTACAACAGCAAATGAGACCATCGGTGTGAAGATAACCTATTTCTATATAGTGTATATCCATACCTTTAGGAAACTGTCTCCGGGTCCGCTGCAGGTCGCTTCCAGGACGAAGCGATTTACGGCACCCAGACGGCACCCTTTATCTTACCGAGCTGCTTACATTTAGTGACTCTTATAAATAGTCGCTATTCCTCCTCCTCGACCCGACGTCCACAGGGAGTTAAAATAGCAGCAATCATCGGGTAAAAGTTCTGTGAAAGCACTGGACTCACCAACAGTCAGCCACGTCTCAGTCACAGAGAAAATCCAATCCTCGGGAAGTCAGGAAATCCTTCAGGATAAACGTTTTGTTCGCTAGCGATCTAGCATTTACCAGCCCAATCCTGGCAGGAGCCGGCGGGTCCACGGTGTTAGCTGTCCGGGGAGCCACACACAGAGGCCGCAGGTTGCGCAGATTCACCCCGCGCCAGCGGGGACGAGGAGAGCAGGGGCTGCAGGGCTGGAACATCTCATCCAGGCCGACGACAGGTACCAGCCAGGCGTCGACAGGGTCCAGCGAGTGCCGAGAAATAAAGAGGCGAGGCACCGAGGTGGAGCTGGGGCGCGGCAGAGGTGAGCTGGGATCCCCGATAGGAGCGGGGGCAAAGTTTTCCCGTCTTGTTGTTTCATTCATCCCCAAATCAAACACATGCGCGAGCCAGGTAAGCGTCTTTACGACAATACACACTAGAGCTCATGGGAAATGTAGGCTTCATTCCGGCAAAACACTACGGTTTTTGTCCACAGGGTCGCCAAAATCAACTCAAAATGAAAGTTCCTTGTAGGGGCTTTAAGATATCGTATTTTAGAGAATGAGACACACGAGGTCACAGTGACCTTGACCTTTGACCACCAAAAACCAATCAATTCATTGTTGAATCCAAGTGGACACTTGTGTCAAATATGAAAAAATTCCCTGCTAACACTGATACAACTACAGCTACATCCGTACACACACCGTAGAAGCCGTAGTTTCCAGGATGTACCTCGCTGAGCTGCCCCATGTCTTTGACTGGGTGACTACAGGAAGGGGTGGAGCCAATGCTGGACTTACAGGTGATACCGACAGCCTTCAATCTGAAAACAAAACCAGAGAAGTTTACAGAAAGAACATATCAAGAAAGCATTTCACAAGACATAAATATAATGGATTATTTACTTGTAAGTGCACTAAGGCCTTAATGTGATATAGTGGTAACTATCAATAAGGTTACACAACTTAAATCTGCATTAATTTTATTTTTTGGCCACTTGGGGGCAGTGCAACAAGCTGCAAACACAACACTGAACTACTAATATGGCAAACATGTTAGCAAACAGTCCATTTACACATCCACCAACAAACATGATGCAACATTATCATTCAAGTCCAATATTCACTCTACTTTAAGCTCCAGTTTGTAGAGCCCCTCTGGGGTCACATGGTACAATTAGAATTACTGCCTCTTGGTTGTATGCCTCCGCGAACCAGACAAGATTCTCTTACAGTTTACATCCATGTCAGTGAAAACATGGATAATTCACACACAGAAGATCTATACAATCGGCACAGTTTCAAGGTAGACACCCAAGATTAGTATGTGACCAAATGTCACCCCTTCTGTTCCTGAGATATGACTTTGAATAATGGCCAGATAAGTGTTTTTGCCGAAACTTATGTCACAGTGAAGGTGACCTTTGACCTTTTGGGTATAAAATGCCATCACTTCATCATTTTATCCTATTAGACATTTGTGTGAAATTGTGTCATAATTAACATATGAATTCTTGATTTATGGTCAAAAGATTGTTTTTTGAGGTCACAGTGACCTTGATCTTTGACCATCACAATCTCATCAGTTCATCTTTGAGCCCAAGTGAATGCTTGTGCCAAATCTGAAGAAATTCCCTTGAGGTGTTTTTGAGATACCATATTCATGAGAGTTAGACAGACTCAAGGTCACTGTGACCTTGACCTTGGACTACCACACACTAATCGATTTATTTCTTGAGTCCAAGTGGATGTTTTTTTCCAAATTTGGACAAAATCCCTCAAGGTGTTCTTGAGATATCTTGTTCATGAGAATGAGACGGATGGAAGTTCACAGTGACCTTGACCTGAGACCACCACAAACTAATCGGTTTATTTCTTGAGTCCAAGTGGATGTTTGTGCCAAATTTAAGGAAATTCCTTCAAGGCCTTCTTGAGATGTCACCGTCACGAGAATGAGAAGGATGCAAGGTTGTAATGACTTTGACCCTTGATCGCCAATTTCCAATCAGTTCGTCGTTGAGTACAAGTGATGTTTGTGCAAAATTTTTAAATAAATTCATGGTCCTCTTGAGATATTGTGTTCTTGAGAGTGAGAGAGATGAGGTCACAGTGACCTTGACTTTTGACCTATGACTACCAAAATCTATTCCGTTCGTCGATGAGTCCCAGGTGATATTTGTGCCAAATTTAAGGAGATTAATGAAGGTGTTCTTGAGATATTGTGTTCTAGAGAGTGGGACCTGTGGACAGACAACTCAAAAACGTACTGCCTTTGGCTATCGCCGGTGCAAGCCAAAAAAAGAAACTTGATGTGTAAATCTGTGTGAGAGGGAAAAAATGGACTTCTTTTATAAACTCAGGTAAAATGGTACAGGTAGGTCGAGAGTAAACCAAATGTAATTAATATTAAAAAAGTGCCTCATGTGCCTGAGAAAACATTGAATGTATTTTAACCAATCTCTGTGGCAGGTTACATACGACATGACTGGCCTGTACTGGTCTTATATTTTTTTCCATACTTTTCCATGAACTGCAGAGTTAGGTTGGTGGTCTCCTGGGCGACGGCCTGTATCTGCTCCACTCCTCTGCAGTTATAGCTGTTCCCACAGTGAGCGTACACTCCTGTCAGCTCCACACCCTCCGTCTTGGCGATGGCCTGAGCCAACCTGAGCGCCTCAGGGTCTGAGTGCAGGACACCAGCTACAGCAAAGAGCAAACAGAAGATCAGCAGGCTGTTGACTTCCGCAGCTCAGCAGCTGAAGATGAGTTGTGTGTTTACCTCTCCCGTTGCCACAGTCCAGTTTGAGCCAGACATGCCACAGCCGACCGTCTCTCAGTGGTCTCTTTTTGAGCTGATCCAGAGCATCAGGATGATCCAGTAAAACTTGGAAGAGATCCAGCCGCTCTGACAGGGCTGCACAGCGCTCCACCTATAAACACACACACATATTCAGACATAAGCGAGTGTGATTCAAGTCAAAAAAGCAAAAAAAATTATGTCAGTATGTTTATTGCATTGTGATCACTTGATTCAGTCACACAAGACATTAAGTAAGTAAAATACCAAAATCTATTTTAGTTTATAATACAATTATATTTTAACATAATATATAGTATAACATACAATACTTAATTTATATTACACATGTACTACATACTAATTATCATATGGTCAATATAAAGGTTACAGTTAGTATGCAAGAAATCAATTTAACATTTAAAATTATGCAACTGTGACTTCAGAATTCACAAAAACAAAACAATTGTTATTTGATTTGTCATTAAATCTTTTGGGTTTTTTTTAGATCTTCACAAAGCTGTTTCAGCACCACCTGCAGTTGTTTTAATGAAACGCAGCAGTGAGCAACTTCTCCATTACTTTTATGCAGAGGCGTTTTTCACAGCAGACATTTTGACTTGTCAGAGAAGGAAAACAGCAGGGAAAAATGTAAATAATAACATTAACGATGACTCTGTTTAAAGTGAGCCAGCATGTGCAATTCCAGCTGGCTACCAAGAACTTTAGTAGGGCTGCCCCCTAACAGTCAATCACACAGTAGTTGGCAAGATTTAATTTTGCTTAGTCGCAGAAAAAAACAAAACAAAAAAAATGTGAAACTCTATTAGGAGCTGTGCCTTGTCAATATAAATCAAAACCTATATGACTGGACCATGTGGGAGTTTAATTTGAAAGGACAGACACAGGAAGTGGCCACGCTCAGCAGTCAGACAGGAGTCAGGTTAATTTCCAGGGCTGATACCTGCGGTTATTCCACAGGCTAGTTAATAACATGTCGGGCAGGAAATCCAAAGTGTGGGATCATTTTGAGAAGGTGAAGGACGAACCCAAGGTGATATGTAAACTCACCTTCATTGGTCGACTACAAACATGACGTATCATCTGAAACATGTTAGTAGCTACATGCCCATTAGCCACTTAGCACAATCATTACTGCTTTGCCGACAGCGTCATTAACAGGCGGCTCGCTCAGTGTGTGACGTGCACTTGTAGATAAAATATAGGCCTATATTAATGAAGGTTCATTAGTACGGGTTTGTATTTCTCTGTAATGTAGCACAGTGTTAACAATGTTACTGATACTATTCTTTCTCACACCTTCAACTCAAACCATTGTGTTGCCCCGCTCAAGATATATAATTTAATAGTTAAATTAGTATCGTAAACATGCGGGCGACTAGTCGACTAATGGCCCTAAATGATGACTATTGGTTGACTAGGAAAATTCTTAGTAGGGGGCAGCCCTAGATATTAGACTTTGATATTTGGTTGAATTTCAGTTGTGATGTCAGGTGACCAAATTCTCATGTCAGAATGTTAAGTGCCAGCATCCATTTGACATTAAAAACTGGCAATACTTGACGGTGATATATTGTTGGATTAAAGTTGTGCTGTTTAGTAACAAAAATCCACTGTCTTCCAAATGCCTCATGCCATCATCATCTTGACTGAGAGTAACAACATTTAGTCGTAAGGTATGAAGAATAACATCAACGTCCACACATGGAATTGTAATGTCATTAGACATTTAAAATATCGTCAACCCGATTTTCATTCCAACCAAAATTCAATGTCTGTCTGATGTAAGAGTCCACTGTCTTTCTGATGTCATATCCTCCCTTTTCACTAAAATTAGCACATGTATGCAGTTTTTTTAAACACAAAAATCCAGCAAAAAATAGGCTATACTCCTAGCCTAGATCCCTTTCAGATTACCAGTAGACCACAGCTGCATACACGCCTCTGCATCAGATGAGTATGCCTTTCTGTTTTTTTCCCCTGGTGTGTCACGTTCAATGTCACAGACGGGTTAGTAAGATTAGTTAGTCGCATTGATTACCGCTTCACTATCTTCTTCCCTGACGCCATGACCACGGTCAAAAAACTGCATTTCTCTGCCCATCTAAATACGGCCCTGTCTGTATGGAACTGCCACACAGTGTTCACAAGTGGTATTAAAGGAAAAACAAACAAAAGCAAACACAAGGACAGCTTTCTCTAACAGCGGCTGTGTACAGTGGGAAACGGGCTATGACATCTGGTGCCAGCTGAACTGAAACTGAAGACACTTAATAGAATTCAGCCATTTTTTATTTTATCATTAAACACGTGCTTTTTATGTCCAGCTGTAAAAATGTCTTCTATGAAACAGGCCTCTTGCTTTATGGGACAACAGTGTACATTTACAGCACGCTCAAAAAAGTTGATTTCAGGATGCATACTGACTGTTTGAGTTAACTTAATTTTGTCATTTTCAATTATAACAACATACAGAACTGGTGTTTACAGTGTGTGAGTTGAAAGGACCTTATCAAAGGGAAGAGAGTACGCATAGAGGATGTCATCAAACCCGTGGTCGGCATAGAAACAGGCCTCTGCCAGCGTGGAAACCACGATGCACCTCCGTGATCCACCTGTCATTATGTCAGCGCACTCACTAGACATAAACACAGATACACAGACCTCATCAGTGTCTCAGACAGACTGAATAAATGTATTGTAGGAGTGTGTGTGTATGTGTGTGTGTGTGTTCATACAGGGTTTTGTGTGTCTTCACGTGTGGCCGGAGCTGGACCCCCAAATTCTGACAGCGTTCGATCATCCTCTGGGCATTTCTCTTCACTTTGTCCACATCCAACACCAGAGCAGGGGTAGACAGGGTGGAGATGGCCTCTCCCTCCATACTGGCAGCACTGGGACAAACAAACACATACACACACACACACCCCAGTTACTTCTAATGCAATTAAATTCTTGTGCATGACTGGCTTCAGCCCACAAGCTCGTGACAATGACTCTATTCTTCTCATAACAAACATACAGTTAGTGGTGAAAGGGAGTAAGTACATGAACTCAAGTACTGCACTTAATTTAAAATTGACATAGTTGTACTTAACTGAGTATTCCCATTTTATATTACTGTCCCAAATCCCTCACCAAAACGTTAACATTAAACATTAAACAGCTTTACTCAGTGTTCTTACCGCTTTAAATCACCTGGTCTGTTTGTTCTGAGGAGGGAGAGACATCCTGCTAAAAAAAAAACCCACCTGAACATCTGGGGCCGGTTGCATAAAAAAAACACCAAGTTAAGATCCTAGTTAAGGTTTCCTCCAAATAAATCAGTTGCACAAAAACACCCTTAAGTCTTCTCCTTACGATTTCCTAATAATGTTCAATGAAGTATTTATGGTTTTCTCCTTGTCTTGGTTTCACACTTAAGGAATCCCTCAACAGCTGCACAAGAGGTTTTCTTGTCTTCTTTTCTTCTGCCATTTCTTCCACTATCTAACTATAAGCCAACTTTGTGAGATGATAACAGGCATCAGAAGTGTGAAAGTGTGAGTCCAAGCAAACAAACAATCTTTATGGAAACTTTAATTACTGTAAAATCTCTTTCAAGGCAGTAAATGAGTTAATGTCTTTCATTGACTAAGGGAACCTTTTAAGGGATTCTGTGCAACTATGTAAGTCACCCAGCTAAGGAGAAATTAAGTCTTAAGATGTCATACTTCAGGAGAAAACTTAAGGTGTTAATTAATTAAATTATCAAAGAGAAAAGATGAGCACAGAATTGCCTGTGTTAGGTAAGCAAGGTAAGCAGCTGGTCTCTGACATGCCAAACAGCTTTGTATAAATGCTGAGTTGTAACCTGAAACTGCTTTATTCAGTGTTTTACCGGTTTAAATCACCAGGTCCGTTTGTTTTGGAGAGGAAGAGACCTCTGCAGATAATTCGGCTCCCAGTAAAAAACCTCCTGAACATCTGGATCAGAAATACAATGAGCATTTTCAGTTATCAGAGGAAAAGAGGGTGAGCACAGATTTACAAGCAGCCTGTCTCTGACAAGCCAACCCTTGTAGAAAAAACACTGAATTATAACATGAAACTGCTTTTATCTATGTTTTTATGATTTAAATCAACAGGTCCGTTTACTCTGGGGAGGAAGAGACATCTGTGGATAATTCGGCTCACAGTAAAAACCTCCTGAACACTGAATAGTGAAGAAATCCTAACCGGGAGACGTTTCAGCTGGTTGCAATTTGCAGCCCTCACCACTGGATTCAACCTAAAAGTCCCCCTAAAACCTAGACGCTGGACCTTAAGGTAGCAACGTATGCTCAGACAATGGTTAGTGCCCACGAATAACGTTGCGTATTTGAGGTAAAGTCACCGTGGTTAGGTTTAGGGAAACAAAGGTGGTGACGGTGTACCTTAAAATGTCTAAAACACTCACTCGGTTTCGGACACCCGTGTCCCGAGGAGAGTCCCGTGAAGACCACCTAGCGCCCCGACCCGCGTCCTTAAAGGACCGCTTCCTTGGTTGCTCCCATCAGCGCCTTGGTAACGTGACCGCACCCTCCCAAAGACATGGGTTCTGTACACAGTCAATGTAATATGTAGGAATATTGGTGCATTACTTTGTGCAATAAAAGGTATGAACAGTGCACGAGACCAGTCTGCATCAGCACATACCTGCATTTCTTCCCAACTCTGTGCAGTTTTGCAAGGCCTCGTGTTTATGTAACTACTGTACAGACTTGGAACTTTGAACTACACACCAAAATGTTTTTTGGGTTATTACACAGCCCTCATTTTCCCACTGAATACATGTTTAAAAAGGTTTAAAAAGCTCTATATTATTATTATTTTTATTATTATTTTAGCAACAGCCATTGTTGACTCTTCGACATATCTAACAAATATTAAAACTAGACAATGCATGGAAGTTGCATTAACCATTACAGATGACTTACCGTTAGGCAGTGATTCTACTTTCTCTCCGACATGTGATAATGTTGTAGTCACGTCACTTACGGTGTCCTGGAGTGGTCAAACCTCCTGACCGGATTGAGTCATTCACTGATACAAAGCAGCTTGGGAGAAATTCTTTATGAATAATATATTAAATAGATTTACTTTAAAAAAAATATTGCATCCAGTATTTTCAACAAAAGAGACAATGTAAAGATTTAGACTTCATATTGAAAATTATTTTATTTTCTGTGAAGGACGAGAATAATTTGTGATTTGTTTTATCACTGTATGTATGCCAGAATATTTTAGGTGGATATTAAACATAATTTAAGAAACTAAAGTGACTAAACTCCAGTGATACTGGATTTGTACCACTTTTTTTTTTGGAGAGAATGCCAAGAGTGTGCAAAGCAGTAATCAGAGCAAAGGGTGGCTATTTTGAAGAAACTAGAATATAAAACATGTTTTCAGTTATTTCACCTTTTTTTGTTAAGTACATAACTCCACATGTGTTCATTCATAGTTTTGATGCCTTCAGTGAGAATCTACAATGTAAATAGTCATGAAAATAAAGAAAACGCATTGAATGAGAAGGTGTGTCCAAACTTTTGGCCTGTACTGTATATATATATATATATATATAAATATATAATATACTTTTGTTTCTTCAATAAATAAATAAAATTATTAATAAAAAAAGCACCAGTTTGATTATATGGAGGCCCATTCCCTCCTATGTGATTAAAAAATCGTCTAAGCCAATTATAATGACAAACTCTTTTTTTTTTAAATCACTTAGTATCTAAAAAATAATGCCTTAGTATCTGTTGTCAATATCTTTGAGATACTAGTGATTATTTTTGAGATACTAGGTCATTATTATGAAATAAATAAGTCATTATCTTTGAGATACTAGTGATATCATGTCATTATTATGAGATAAATACATCATTATTTTGCTAAACAGTCATTATTTTGAGATATTATGTTAGTATTTTGTGATACCAACTCATTACTTTGAAATACTAAGTCATTATTTTGAGATAAGTCATTATTTTTGCAAATGTAAATTATCATCTTAAAATACTAGCTCATTTCTTATTCTAAAAACTTCAGGATTTTTTTTTTATAACATTGGTGGCAGAAATGGGCTTCCATTTTGATGTGTCACTCTAAATAAAGATTTACACTCATTCTTCTGCACGAGCACCAGGATAGGCAAAAACAACAGGCTTGACAAACATGAAATAAAAGTATATCCTTGTGTGAATGTGATTTCATGGGGCAAAATTTGATTACTTTATATACTGCGTGGTAGCTTCATCTACAATATTGTGTCATAATTTATTACTTGATTTGGCAAAATGTTTATTTTGTATTAATTGTATGAAACTGCAAAATGACTAGGAACTAAAGCTGTCAAATAAACGTGCAGTGAAAAGTTTATTTGCCTTAAAAATTTGTAAACGCTCGGAATTGTATAATGTAATGGATTAGTCTGAATACACTGTTGAATTTGCAGCTCTGTATTCCTGTGTACAGCAGAGGGAGCCAAATGCACTAACCCCCATTTTCACACTTGATATTATGGATCAAGACACTTTGTCTCATTGGATCCAAATAATTTGAGGGCAGATTATTTTGATTTCAATTATTAGTATTACATTCAAGAAGGGCGAACTGTATGATGTATGTTTGTGTTACATTTTCAATACGTCTTTTCTTTACTAAAATCATTGTTGAGAGCCACTTCCATTCCTCTCAGGGACTGTTCCTAATTTATTTCGACAAAATGTTAGTTGACAAGAAAGGTCATTAATTGGCAGGATTTTATTGATCGCTTAGTTGCAGAAAAAACAAACAAATAAACAAACAAAAAACAAACGTGAAACTCTGTCAGGAGCTGCGTCCTGTCAAAGTAAATCCAAACCTATATGACTGGACCATGTGGGAATTTAATTTGAAAGGACAGACACAGGAAGTAACCACGCTCAGCAGTCAGACAGGAGTTAGGTTAATTTCCAGGGCTGGTATCTGTGGTTACTACACAGGCTAGTTAATAACATGTCGGGCAGGAAATCCAAAGTGTGGGATCATTTTGAGAAGGTGAAGGATGAACCCAAGGTGATATGTAAACTCACCTTCATTGGTCGACTACAAACATGACGTATCATCTGAAACATGGAAGTAGCTACATGCCCATTAGCCACTTAGCACAATCATTACTGCTTTGCCGACAGCGTCATTAACAGGCGGCTCGCTCAGTGTGTGACGTGCACTTGTAGATAAAATATAGGCCTATATTAATGAAGGTTCATTAGTACGGTTTTGTATTTCTCTGTAATGTAGCACAGTGTTAACAATGTTACTGATACTATTCTTTCTCACACCTTCAACTCAAACCATTGTGTTGCCCCGCTCAAGATATATAATTTATTAATTAAATTAATATCTTAAACATGTGGGCGACTAGTCGACTAATGGCCCTAAATGACGACTATTGGTCGACTAGGAATATTCTTAGTAGGGGGCAGCCCTACAAATCAGCTGAAAAACTGAGGCTTTTTTCAACTCCAGGAGTTCATCCTCAACTTTCACCTTTCAAATGCCAGAGGGTAACTTCTAAAATCTAATCACTAATTTATGATGGAGGGAGGGTCATTCATTTTCCCTCAGTCACTCTGGGAGGCTCAAGGAGAAATATTTGTAGCTATGGAGAGGGTAAAAAACAAAAAACCAAAGTGACACCCCAGCTGCCACCCTCCCCCTCCTCTGATAAATAAAGAACAGTCCCTAAAGTTACACTGATTTAATAACAATCTGCACTTTGATTATAAACATATTAACACATTATCATATCTTGTAAAAACAGACGACAGTGTTGGGGTCACCACATTAGGCTTTATTTGGACTTCGTGTTTACAGATTTGGTTCTTTTATGTTTGTCTTTCGATGCATGTGTAATTAACTACAGCATACAGCTTTGTGCGATTCTCTGAGTTCGTGATATTTTTTTTTATGCCCTAGAGAAGATATGTCTACATGTCTTTATCCCCTGAAAAAAACTACAGCAATTACAGCATAACATGATGTAAAAAAAAAAAAAAAAGTTTTGAGAACCCCTCAGATGGCTTTGTCCTTTATTTCTACTTTAGCACCTTTAATGTAAATACTGATTTTGTGTAAACAGACTGAGGGAGAGAGAAAGAGACAAAGAGACAGAGAGAATTCTTTTCTGCAAACTGAAAATCAGTACAAAATAAAAACAAAATAAAGCGTACTATTAGTTTCGTACACATTGAATAATCATACACCTCTCCTCTGGGATACTTATGAGTGTCTTTGGTTGAAAGATGCTGACCATAGATGTAGAAAGAATAGAACAATCAAGTTACAAATGATATTGCATGCCTATGTGTTTGTGTGTCGGCCGGTCCTACGTGGATTGTTTTGCAAAGAATCTTCACCCATGACAACGGGATATGTAGCCGCCTCAGTGCCTTACATCCAGTAATGATAATAACCACAGAGGTCTGTTGACGCCTCTGTGTGTGTTTACGTGTACGCTTGAAGGAGCTGGCCCTTCTTTCACTCTGTGGATTCTAATTCTGTGGTGCAGAGCATTGACAGTTCCTCACTAGCATATCCAGCGGATAAAGCGCTCAAAGAACGAGGCTTTGTTCAGCATGGTGTAGTCAACTCCTCTAAAGATGGCCGACGAGTCCTCTAGCGACACCTTCTTCAGCACCTCTTCATCCGTCTCTGTTCCCATGGCGATCACCGTGGGAACACCTTGGGCTCGCTTCATGGCCTCCACGCCCTCACTCAGCTGGTCAGTGCTTGTGATGCCATCGGTGATGAACACAAAGGCACGCTCAGCTTGGCGACGAGCCTGGTTTGCTCTAACCTACAAACGAAACAGGAAATGTTAAAGGAATACACTTTTTGCTTTCTTGCCAAGAGCCGAGATGAGAAGATTGATACCATAGATATAGAAACATAGATGCTTCATTGGCCACTGGATCCATGGATCTCTTAGGAGAACTGGATATAGCATTGAATGAGGGGCCCCGTTCATGCCTATGAAAGTTTCTCAGTGGCACATGAAGCCAAAATGGTTCAACTGCCATGTACAAAATGACCCTCATGATCCGGAGATTATCGGCACTACTTCAGCACTGTGCAGCCCTTAGAGCAAACACACTGGAGACATACAATGGCCGAGCACTGCCGAGTGCAACTGAGCGGCTAACTTCCAGTTTAGCACTCCGCTAACTTGAACAGGGATAAAAAGATTCAATCCTATCAAGAATTTTCTCTGTTTTTGGATTCTTTGCTCACTTGAGGCATGTGTGAAAATGTTTTCTTCACGAATTCAAAGTAACACATGGTGAGTAATTAATTAAAAAAAGCAAAAAGGTCATTTGGGGCGTGAAGTATTCCTTTCAGGTTGCCAGGCAATCAGGAGAGAAGTCACTACATCTAGCCAAGAAACATTCCCACTAGTGAAGCACTGGTTGACCCACAACCTGTGGGCTGGGCGGCTTGGGTAAGCTTGTCAAAAAGTATTGCAGGTTTCGGGCAGGTCAGTAAGTGACAAAGCAGCTTTCTGAGAAAGTTAATAAGTTACAGAAACACTGTGCAACAGTCCACCTTCCACCTTCTCTTGCCCCTCTCCATCTCTCTTTTCTCTCTGTCTCTCAAACACATACAGGAAGCAGCTTTCTCATCAGAGCTGCTGCTCTCAGGGTTTCACTTATTCAGTTTTTGACCAGGAAAATCTGTTGAAGTCTGACATACGTAAATCTCTATTGTCATAATGTCTAGTAAAACTACTTACCTCTCAAAATATGTAGGCCTATCACTGTGTCCTAAGAGCAAGCATGCACCTCTCTGTCCACACTGAATCTTTTAAATATGCACTACTGTTGCGTCACTTTCCAACCACTTAAAAGATGGGTGAGTACTTGCTTTCTTCCTATGTTTGTATTTTTTAAACGAAAAACACTTTTTATATTTTGATTTATACTGAAAATTACATTCAACATAGCCAACAGCAGGTAGGTTGTTATAAAGGATGGTCATGGACCAGAAACTTTCAGCCCCGGCTTGCAGGACTGCAGGTCGGGTACAGGTCATTGAATAATGCATACGTTTGCGGATCAGGTGGGGTGGACTGGCTGTCATAACAGGCCTGGTCTTATTTTACTTAGGCAAGCAAATTTCCAAAAATGTTGAACTATTCCTTTACACGTTTCTGTCACGGGACAAGTGTTTGTGTTTATACCTCTGGAACCACCAGGTTGTTGACAGCATGGATGATAGCGCTGCCCAGATAAGAGGAGGAGTCCAGGTAGTTCATCGCTGCCAGTGAATCAGAGATCACTGAGAGATTGCCTGTGAGCTTGAACTCCACTCGCTGCTCTGAAGGTGTGCCGTACTGCAGCAGGGCAAAGCGGGCATTCCTCTTGTCATCTGGGCCACTGGCCAGGGTGAGGCGACTGGCCACGTTTGCGATGAACTCTTTGGCCATGCGATGGTTCTCCAGTCCCATCCTCTCAGAACCATCCAACAGGAACACCACATCCACTGGCCGCTGAACACAGCTAGCCACTGCAGGCTCTGGAACAGACACACACACAGACTTACAAGTTTTAAACCAAACATGGTGTTCGGTGAGCTGCAGCTGGAACACAGATGCTCGGAGGTCAAAGCCAGCAAAGATATACTGTAACTTAATGTACTTCCTTACATGTTTGTTGCAGTCGATCTGTCTGACATCATGTAAACCCTCTGATATAAGTAGTAGCCTCATCAAGAAAGCACTTTTTTAGTTTGCTCTATGATTTTATTCTCTTGAGACATTAAAACATGAATACATCTCACAACATAGTTCACATCAGCAAGTTTCAGTCACAGAGCTAACATGAAATTTGGTTAAAGCTGCTCTGTAGTCATTTTCTTCTAGTCATCACACAAGCCAAGCCGCATGCAAAAAAACATGCACCAATCAAGGGCATAACATACAATAGTTCCTTCATTGTCAGTGCCAAGACAATTAACCAAACATCCACATACACCAACCTCTGACTCATATACAGTATACTGTGACATGTATAAAACCAGATATTTTCCACATGTCATGGCCTTTTCACCAACATGACTCATTCACAGAGAAAACGAGAAAAAAAAGTAAAGGCCGTAACCATGGATATGTGCAAAACAGCAAAAAAAATGTCATCGGAGTGATTCAGCGAGCTCGTGATTCACAGTGGAAATTAGGCTTCATCAAAGAGCCACTGTACACTACACAGAATGGCTCTACAGACCATTCTGCCTCCAACAAATGGACGACATCCGCTTTCCATGTGAATGGAAAATGTTGCTCCACTTAGATGGAAGGAATGATATGTATCATATTTGTAACAGACATACTTTTCTAAGAGGCAGCTCCTTGTACGTTAAAGGAATACCTCACCCACAAAATGACCATTTTTATTTCATTAACTCAATGCGTGTCACGTTGAAGCTTGTGAAGAAAACTTTGTTTTTCTCACATGCCTCTACAATAAATGAAGAATCCAAAAAAAGCAAACATTCTCCATAATTAGAAGTCACTGGGGACAATGTTTAATGGGCAGCAAAACTACATACATGTATGCTAGAACGTTACAATATAAAATTTGAGTGAATTTGAGAATGAAATTTAAGGCCGATTTGATAATAATAACCAAGAGTGAAAAAAGAAAACATGATCCGACATCAATAAGCTTGGTGTTACGGACATTCATTCATTCATCTTCTGGAGTCTATCCCAGCTGATATTGGATGAGAGGCAGGGTACACCCTGGACAGGTCACCAGGACACAGGACTGACACATAGAGACAGACAACCATTCACACTCACATTCACACCTATGGACAATTTAGAGTCACCAATTAACCTGCATGTCTTTGGACTGTGAGAGGAACCCGGAGCACCCAGAGAAAACCCATGCTGACAGAGGGGGAACGTACAAACTCCGCAGAAAAGGCCCCCCCCCCACCCCAGGTTTGAACCAGAGTCCCTCTCAGGGTTAGGAACAATTCTGCCAAAATGTTTACTGTAACATAAAACATGACTTTTGGTCAAGTTAAAAAGTTAGATGATCTTTCTAGACTAAAACTTTCTAGATTGGAACATGTGAAAAAAACAATTTACTTACTATCATAAAAGGATCTATTTGGGTTGCTTTGAAAAAAGCTTGTCCGGTTAATTGGATATGGTAGATGAATATGAGTGTTGTTGGTTCTTCTTGATCAGCATTATTATGTTAATGTGAGAGGCATTTGGTACCAATTTTTTTTGAGATTTTACAATGCAGATAGCACCAGCCACAAGCCAAATGCTGGTATAAAATGCAAGCGTCTAAATGGTATCATTATTATTATTATTATTATGATTTGGAATCCAGCAGCCACATTGGCAGATGGACAAAAATAATATCCTACATACTATGTTTTAGGATGTTTAAGACTTTTGAAAGATTTAATTTAAGACATTTTAATGCTAAATAGATTACCCAGGCATGCCATTCGGCCGCACATGAGACTGTTGTTACAGACGTTGTATAAATCGTAACTTTTACCAAGATGTATGCGTTTAAGAAGTACTTAGCATTTGCTTGGATATATAAGACTTGGTTTATTCTGCACATGTTGTGGGAGTGTTTGTAAACCCATGTTTTGATATAGTTTTGCTGTCATTAATCATGTTCCCCATTTACTTCAATTCATGAAGAATGTTTGGTTTTTTTGGATTCTTCGTTCATGGTATAGGCATGTAAGAAAAACAATGCATTCCTTGTGAATTCAAGATAACATGCTCTGAGTAATTAATATACAAAGGGTCATTTTGTGAGTTAAGAATTCCTTTGTTTTAGAAATACTCTATGAGGAGAAGGAGCATCACATTTTGAATTTCGGGCCCATCATATACAATAAGTGTATATAATGCTGCTTTGAAATTTTGGGACAGGGCCAGCCTTATATCATGCAATCCTATGGCATCAGCCTAAGTGTATATTGCACTCGTAGAGCTTACAAAAAATGCCCACAGTTTTAATAAAATCTACTCTATGTCCAGCAGTAAGCTTATTAGTTATTGGCGTCCATAATGGCGAGGTAGCATGGTTAGCATATTAGCATTAGCAGAGTCCTAAGGCTTTTTCTGGGTCTCCCATAATGTCTCCATAGACATATTTGAAGGAGTCGATGAACAGCTGGGTCCACTGCTGCCTGTCCTCCCCCTGGGCGAGTTTGGCTCTCTGGGCTGTGTACGCCATGGTTGCAACGCCAACCCCGTACTGCTGCTCGCTCAGGCCGTTCAGCAGTCTGGTCACACCCTCCAAAGAGGTAGGGACCAATGAGGGGCTGCCTTCCTCGGCCAGTGGCTTCCAAGGGAGAGGGGTTTGCCCCGCTCTGATGCCCCCTCCTGAAACAAGCGGGCGGAATAACATTGTGGGCGGGGTCCCACAGACACGACGCATCAACACAGCCAACAAAGATGCCGCGGCTACACCGAGTTGCACTAGATTGAAAGTTTGGTCTTTTGTGTTGGCTTTACAGGGACATGAATTATTGCATCACAACAAAGGAGGTGAAATGACGTAACTGTGTTAAAAACACACTGACATTAATTCAAGCCGCAACATGTCCAATCCTTAACATAGCTTAGAGGCGTCAGTATGCTTCAAACAAACTAGGTGGTATCAAGTGTTGTCCAAACATGAAGGCCAAAATGTTTATACCTTCTCTGTATGTACGGTGTCTGAGATGTTTCAAATCATCTGCATATCTAAGGCTTTGCAAATTTGAAAAACATAAGCGCATTAACAGAAAACACAAATGCAAAACCTAGGACACAAATGCTAAAGCAACAAAAGAGATGCAAAAACAAAAGCTACAACACAGATGCAAAAGCTACGACACAAATGCTAAAGCAAAGGCTTTGACACAAATGCAAAAGCTACGACACAAATGCAAAGGGGAACTATTATTGCCTACACATTTGGAGGAGGAAGGTTTTTGCCGTTTGAGAAGGAAGTGTAACGTTGTTCGCTTGCTAACTATGATGACTACTACTATGCGATTGTCAAAAATGCGCAAAGTTGTACATTGTCTTTATAATTTCATATTTATGAAAGTAACTCTCAGGTTACCATGAAGACAACATAAAACCTTTAGCTGAAGCTTAAGCTGAAAACCACACACGACTGTTTAGTTTCTGTCAAATGCCACTTACAATAAAATGCTGAGTGACTTGCCATAAATCAGCATTATTATAGCTTTGTCTCCATACACAAGTACAGCTTAGGTTACATCTGACTGACTTACATTAGCTAAATGACATAATGCTAATATTACTGCATAGCTAGCTTCATTATAGCATTATAATGTTAGATGGTAGAGTACTTAAATGTGAATATTAAAGCATTAATAGTCTGCCTTTTTCATTCCTAACATCTGCCGACGCTCACTGAGGTTGTGGCTTTTGAATTCGTGTTTTTCCATTAATGCATTTGTGTTTTCGGGATTTTGTAATGTGTTTTGGCCAAGGGACAACCTACAGAGCTGAAAATTAAGCCACAGTGGGAGTGCCAAAAACTGCAGTTCCTCTAATGGCCACTTGAGTCAATCCCCATAGACCCCCATGTTAAAACGCCAAACTTTAAAGCAGAAGTAAAAATGTTTACAGCCTGATACAAAAACAGTTTTGGTCTCTATAGCTAATTTCAACATTCATGACAACTGCACGGGATACATTTTTAAATAACTCACCTGTTTAAAGGTTATTAAGGCTTAAAGTTAGGCAAATTGGGGCATGGTCACTTTAAGTGACAGGTGGGTGTCTCTACCATGGAGGCAACGTAAGTTAGGTAATGTAACAACGATGTAACCCCAGATTCACAGAGTATACTTGTAATCGTACATGTCCTTATTTCAGAGTGGCTTTTTAGCTCATGAAAGATAATTGTTGGTTTTCGAAAGATACAAAACTTGTCAGACACATCCCTCTCAAATCCAACGCTTTTTCAAATGCTGTTTGACAATTTGACAAGAACTTCATTTGAAGCATATTGACGCCTTAAAGAGGTAGATTTTTTTCAAGTGGGGTTGAATGGGCTGAATTATCGTAGTCAGTGTGTTGCTAGATGGCAGTCAGCACACCCCCAGTTTGGAGAAGCAGGCAGGATTACTGCCGCAGAAGCTAAGCAATGTACTGTTGTTGAGGGGTCAACAAGAAAACATATTTTAGTCACCTAAAAAAAATCATTATCAGTTTCAGTATACACTATATTCAGAAAATTTTCACTGCTGTACTTTACTGTCAGACAGTAATTTCTGATGGGGAAATGAAGCCGTTGTATCGCTCTCTTCAAAGCCAGACTCCATTGAGAAAAACAGTAATTTAACAGTGCTGAACACAGGAGCTGCTGGTCTGCCCCTGCCTCAACTGGATAGATAGTTGGGTTATTGTGTGACTTTGGTGATAAAAAGGGTTAGTTTGGATTCACCAAAGTTACACAACACACAAACTAACTAACTGAATGAGGCAGCAGTAGACCTGCAACTCCTGTGTTCAGCAAGCTTAAATGACTGTTTTTGTCAGTGGAGTCTGGTGACTTTGAGGAGAGCATAGATTGGGAACTAAAGCAGTTAACGGCTTCCCCGTTGGAACAGGCTGTCTGATGGAAAGGTAAAGCGTTAAAAATACTCTCAATGTACCGCACACTTAAACTGATATTGAGTTTGCTGGTTGGGACTTTTTTTTACAAGTGGCTAAAATAAGTTTTGCTGCTGCCCCCCTCCACAGCAGTACATGGCTTCCAAGTCAGTACTCCAGCCTGCTTCTCCAAACTAGGGGTGTGCTGCCAGAAATCTACTGTATGTAATACACTGACTATAAATGAGTACCTCACACAACCCCACTTCAAATAATCTGAACTGTTTAATAATGCTTGTTACCCAGGCCTAAATGCTGAAATTCTTCTGAGACATTAAGTGATGTTGTTGTAAAATCTTACCTGATTTACAAGGGAGATCAGGGCATACGATGACAGGATCTAAAGCACAGATAAAAACAGAATGTCAGAGACAAAACAGAAACAAAAACAGCTTCATGATCCACTAGATAAATGTACTGTACATAATGTTTGCCACTGTAATGAGTGTACCTGGGCAGAGCACTGTTTCAATCTTGTCGATGAACTCATCGGCTACCAGGTCTGCAAAACGCTTCATGCCAAGCACCCTGCCATCCTTCTGGCAGGCGATGCTCTTCAGACTCTCATTCTCCTCAGCTTGGTCAAACATGTCTCCGATACCGATGGCACTCACGTCAACACTGGAATCACTGCTCACACAAATACAAGCAATGAGATAGAACTTCTTCTTCTCTGCAAATGCTTAAACATATCTCTAAGCGCAGCCCCAGTGTCAGGCACCTGCAGAGGTAGGTGAGCAGCGAGTCATCATCTCTGGGGTCGAAGCGTCCATCTGTGATGACAACCACATTGACTTTGGCCTTGGCTCTGCGGCCGTCCCTGATCAGGTTGTCGTAGGCGTACTTCAGAGCAGATGGAGTCCATGTTCCTCCAGCGATCCACTCCAAGCGCTTCACTGCATCCTGAATCGTGGAGATCAGTTTTACAAAGGTGCTCCTAGTTCACATAACCTTACTGTGGGCTGGTTCTGTGAAAAAGATCGCAACTTTCAAATGAAAGTACTATTCTCAAATTTTGATGGCAAAAATGGAAACACCTGTTCACACACATATACACTGATCAGCCGCAACATTAAAACCACTGATATGTGAAGTGAAAAACATCAACCGTCTTGTTATAGTGCAACATTCTGCTGGGGCACCTTTGGTCCTTTCACGTGGATGCAACCTGATGCGCTCCACCCACCCAAACACGGTTGCAAGACCATGAACACCCCCTCATTGTAGCGGCACTCTCTGATAGCAGTGGACCCCCAGCAGGATAATGTGCCATGCCACAAAAACTGTTCAGGAATGGTCCAAGGAACGTGACAAAGAGCTCAAGGCGTCACAACTGGCCTCCTAATTGCCAAGATCCCAATCTGATCAAGCATCTGCGGGAAGTACTGATACCCCACCTCACAACCCACAGGGCTCAAATAATCTGCTGCCAAGGCCCTTGTGCCAGAAATGCAAACATCAGCTCCAAACACAGTGTTAGCAAAAAAGGTAAAATATGTCATAAATGAATAAATTAGGTTTGAACTACCCTAAAAAGTTAAGTGAGGTCACTTTGAGGGTAACGTAACATTAAGAAAAAGGTGTGGTGTTCTTTATTTTTCTTATTGTCAATCATCCCCATCAAAAGACCAAAACCCAACAATGTGTTAGTCTGTCTCCTAATGTCCGTGCCGTGTCTTTGTCACTTTGTCCAGAGCCTACTGGGTCCCAGTGAAGATGTAAGCCTTATAAAAAGAAGGTCACAAGCATATCGTATAATTTTCTACAAAGTCTAATAAATTTCTTTAAACCCTGGGCACTGTAGCTTTTAGCAAACATTACTCAATCAGGAGTGAAAAGTGAATTATATTGGGGACTATTTTCAGTTGTGGACGAATACACATTTGGTGCTTTAGTGAGTATTTACGGCAGCAGGACAGTGTATGTGGGATTGACTTAATACACTACAGTGGTCATGTTCATGATCGTGAACTTTTATCTGCACTGGCAAGACTTCTTATCAGGATAAATGTATTTTTGGGTTTGGTCTTTTATGGGATATTCTGACACCAAGAAAAATATAGAATATTGCCAGCCTTATTCTTTAAGGTGCCGTGCATCCCAGATTGCATGTATTGATAAATGTTTTAAGTATAGTGAGAGGGACACATGACTCCCATCTGCTTTACGTGTGTAGACAGCACATCAGCCCAAATTAATTAAGAAACATCTGGACAAAAAAAGGCAAAACAACAGTCTGTGCTACACCCTAAAAATACACTTCAAAGCAGTTTGCACGTGTTTGTGTTTGAGACCTTGAAGGCAGACAATGTGTCGATCTTGGGGTCGTTGAGCCGGATGGCTTGGAAGGTTCCACTGTGACTGTACTGAACAACTCCCACTCTTGTTCCTGTGAACACAAGCAGCCATGTTTACACCAAGTTCTCAGCCATGTTGTTAAGACAGACTAATTCTGTTGTCATTTAAGAAGGAAGGGAACATGTGCATGGAGACTTGCATGTCTACCTGTGATTGCCTCAGGGTCTTTAGCAAGGGATCCCAGTCTGTTGATGGTGTTGATGACAAAGTTCTTCTCCAGGGTGAAGTTAGTCAGACCCACTGACTCTGAGCTGTCAATCACAAACACAATGTCCACGGCTCCGCAGCGTTTCTCACAGTCTGCGGACAAAAACACGAACTGTGAGAATGTGACGACCTATCAGTGTGCCATCGGATCATGATTGCACAGTGGTCATTAAACTCACCACAGCAGCCACAGGTTTCCCTGATGTAGTTCATAACATCACATTCCTGCAAGAACAAACGTTATATCATCATTATATCCATCATGTTTCTGTTAATGTGTTGGTGATAAAAGAGCGGTAAGATGAAGTGTTCTCACAGTGAGGCCGGGATCTCCCTCAGGACCAGGATCTCCCTGTAGAGAAGGAGAACACATAAAATCACATCTTGCCTCTCAGCTTTTCTGGTTGCTAGCAGATAACATTAACAAAAAGTAAACATACGAAAACATCAGCTTAGGTTTGCGTTTTCTAGCTGGATGCAACTGATATTATAGGAGAGAACCTGTATGTGGGTTAACCTGTGTGATTTTTGCATACTTACATCACGCCCAAGCTCTCCTCTGGGCCCTCTTAGACCAGGTTCACCCTGAGCACCTGGCTCACCCTGTTGGGAGCAGAAAAATTAGCATCGTGTACCTGCACTGTACACCTTTTGTTTCATAACAGCATACATGAAACAACACTGAGTTTACTCACTGGCTCTCCGGGAGTTCCTTGGTCTCCTGGTTCACCCTTTTGACCACAGTCTCCTCTGCTGCCACGAGGTCCACGGCTGCCGCCATCTCCTCTGCCACCCTGTACAACAGCAGAGGGAAGTTTTGTTAGCTACGTGTATCACTCCTTCTGGCCACTGTAAGGAGAAGCGCATGTTCACGTTACCGGTTCTCCTCTTGGCCCAGGATAGCTGAAGCCAGGTCTTCCGGGGTCTCCCTGAAAAAAACACAAAAGAAAGAGTCAAGACAAACTGCAACTGCCACCTGAAAACATCTGAGGAAGATGCTAACACACTTCAGTTTAATTTATACGTCTGCGGAAAAACTTGCGCAGAGCTTCTGCCATGGGTGTGGAAAGGTGGTGCTGAGGGTGCTGAAGCACCCCCTATTGACACAGCCTGAAAATAGTTGGCTATTTTACCATAATTCATGGGCCTTCTGAACATTTGTTTTAAATTCCGAATGGCACATGATACAGCCTGCCAGGAAATATATGAAAGCAGAATTACCACCTCTGCATACTAGTCAAGTTTCTCTTACAGTTTGCATCCATGTCTGTGAAAACATGGATGCTTCACACACATGCTGTACAATCTGCACAGTTTCAGGGTGGACACCCAAAATTTGTGTCACCAATTAAGTATCTGACCAAACGTCTCTTCTTCTGTTGCTGAGATATGACTGAGTAATGGCCAGAAAAGTGTTTTATTCAGAACATTATGATGTCACAGTGAAGTTGACCTTTGACCTTTTGGATATAAAATATCATCACTTCATTCATTTATCCTGTTAGATATTAGTGTGAGGTCACAGTGACCTTTGGCCACCGAAATCCAATCAGTTCATTGTTGAGTCCAACATTTGTGCCAAGCTTAAGGAAATTCCTAATTCTTAAAGTATCACGTTCACAAGAATGAGACAGACAAGGTCACAGTTACCTTGATATTTGACCTTTGACCACCGAAATCTAATCAGGTCATTGTTGAGTCCAAGTGGACATTTGTGCCAAATCTGAAAAAATTCCCTTGAGGCGTTCTTGAGATACTGCGCTAACAAGGATAGGACGAATGAACAACCCAAAATCATAGTGGCTCTGGCCACAGCTATCGCCGACACGTGAGCATAAAAATATGTTTAAAATGTGTAAATTTAATTCATTCCTCCAGTCTGATGTGAAAAATGTCATCACATCAGGTTAAAGTGCGACGGTTGGGAGTCAGCTCATGGGACAGTTAACGTTAAACTTAGGGAGAGATTTGTGGAACCAGGAGCTGCTCAATATTGGGGACAAACTAATCAGGCTGAGAAAAAAACACAGAAATTTGTCAAGACAGTTTTGGAGCTGCTTTTTAGATCCACAGAATATCTTTGATACAAGGGGCTTCCACTGTGGGGGCATATCCACTGGAATGTAGTGTGAAAGCAGCTATTGATGGAGGGGCAGATGAGCCGACGAAACGTTATGTTTGCCCAGAGGATGTGAGTAGCTTCAGCTAACAGACAACTGGATGTCTGCCATCCTTCAAAAGGAAATATTCTAAATTTTGACCCATGCAGTCCGCAGACAAATTGTGTCTGAGGAGGGAGAGCACGCATTCTTTGGACTGATGGAACCACTGATGTACATCTGAGCAGGTTTCCTGTAGATCTTCAACCCAACTGCAAGAATAAGTGTTTGAACTGTAGGTTTCCGCAAACCGTGGATATGTAACATTTGTAACTTATTCCGCAGCGGTTATGTTGAAACTTTACATTTGCACAATGCTTTGGTTAACATGTAGTTATGTTCAGGCACAAAAACCACTTGGTTATGGTTAGATAAATAAAAAATGCCTGCATTTGGTGGCACAAAAACAACCAGTTTTGTTCTTTGTTGGCAGCCATCTTACCTAAGCGCGTGCACATACATAATCACGTGTGCACATCTACACTGTGCAGCGCTCTTCAGTGAAAATATATCCCTCCGCACACAGCTTCCGCTGGGCCACAGAGATGGTTTGCGGGGCTCCACGGAGCTACAGAATTATGCTGCACACCTCCTGAACAATGTGACAACGCACTATGCATTGCAGACTTTTGATTGGACATCAGAGCTGAGATTTCTAGACAACTACCTCACATCCATTACAACAACAAGAGCTGAAATCAAAAAGAGCTCTAAGCACAACACGCATGTGCCGCACAGTCGCAGAAGTATAAATCAGACTTAACTCAGACACAGAGACACATACCTTTGGTCCAGGTGGTCCAGATTCTCCTCTAGGTCCAGCATCACCAGGGTCACCTCTGGTGCCCTGTAATACAAACAGTGTTAATGTGGACTAAATGAAGTACTGTATCTTTTTCATATGATTCCCCACTGAAACCTCTAACGTACATTTTTTCCAGGCTCTCCTGCTGTCCCCGGTGGTCCCCTGGGGCCTGGCAGCCCTTTGTCTCCCTGTTGAGAGGAGAGAAAGTTGATTGCAGGTGTAACAGAAGGGGCTACACTAAATAGGTGCGTATGGTGTTCAGATGAAAATAAACACATTACAAGTATATCATGGCTCCTCTCACCTTTGCGCCTGGTTGTCCTTCTTCTCCTGGAAGTCCTCTTGAGCCTTCTGGTCCCATTTCACCCTGGAACATAAAATCAGCACTGAGGCCCCCTTGTGATTGAGTAATGTATCTCAGGAAACAAATCATTTGAGCCAGAGATGCTCAGTGTTTTCATGACTGATATTTGTTAGTGTTTGACGCAGTAGCCGAGTGTAATAAATGCATCTAACTGTACCAAACAATGGATGTAGCCACCATGACGCCACCCATTGCTTTATGTTCTTCTGCTTTGAAGCCTCGAGTTTGGCATTTGGTTGTCGCCATCTTGGACGGTATTTGGATGAGAGGGTGGATCTTACCCTAATGGCAGCTCCTAGCATGGTTGGCCCAGCACATTTACAGCTATGGCTGACTGTGGTAACAATAATGCTAATTTTCGCTGGTGAAAAACAGGCTTAAAACCAATAAAACAAAAATGTACTCGCCTGGTACATAAACCAAAAAAAAAGTTCTTAGCTTTCAGGTTTAATTTTGCGGTATGTAAGTCTTGTGACTTGGCCGACAGACATGACAGACTACATGATGGTCCACACCAATCATTTTACGACGTGTGCGATGTCATCAGGTTATTCTTGTCCTATTTTTATTATTATTACTATTATTTCAGTCACTGTTGTTGTCATACAGTTGTCTATGGCAGCAGCTAACACTGTGTTCCTATTGGTCAAAGTGACGGCTGTGACGGGAGAAGTTGCAAACAACAAAAAGAAAATCAAAAATGCTAGACTCTCTGTTGGAACGTTGTGAGAGGTCCCAGACGTGGTGTCGGTTGTCGTCTACCATGACATACTACACGAGATGAAACGATGGATTAGCGCGTACGACACTCGTCGTTCACAATCAGAGCTGTCACCGTACGACGCTGTGTCGGGCTAGAATCGGACTAAAACTGTTTCAGTTCCAGGCTGTAAACATGTTTATTTCTGTTGTAGAGTTGGGCATTTTAACACAGCGGTGGCAAGTGGCAATCACCAGGGCTAAAAAAATGAAGCCAAAATTGTAGTTCCTTTAATGGCCACTTGAGGCTGGCTCCAAGAATGAGTCAGTCTCCATAAACCCCCATGTAAAAAAATGCCCAACTTTACAGCAGAAATAAACATGTTTACAGCCTGGTACAAAAATAGATTTGGTCTCTGTAGCTAATTTAACATTCATGACAACTGTACAGGGGCTGAATTTTACATAACTCACCCGTTTACATTTTATTAAGGCTTAAAACTATGCATAATTAAGGGCAGGACCACTTTATGAGTCAGATCCACCCCTCACTCCTCCACACCTCCACCCTCTCATCCAAATATGGTCACGTCTGGCCCCCAAAAAACAAGATGGTGATGGCTGTCACCATAGCTACTTCCATTATTTTATATTTTTATCCATAGGAATTGACTGGCTTTTGAAATTAGCCTCAAGTGGCTGTTCAAAGAACTCCAGATCATGGCATTTCCACATTGGCTTCTTTTTCAGCCCACTAGATTAATTGTAAGCTACTGAAAGTGAAAACATTGAAATCGACCGTGGATGATTAAAATATAATACAGGCATTTAATGTCACGCACAGGGGTCTCACTAAATGCTTCTGGGGGGCACCTCTGGCCCGTGGGCTGCACTTAGGGACATTATGATATTAGTCAAGGCAAAAAGTTCATAACACAGACATGTATCACACCTGTGCAATTATGTTCATAAATTCTTACCTTGTCTCCTTTAACTCCGTCTGGCCCTTGAGCACCCTTTGGCCCATAGTCTCCTCTTCTCCCCTAGAACACAAGAACAGTTCAACACAAAGCCAATGTAGATGAACAACAAAGGGGGACATTAAGTTATGAGTAACTCAGATGTTCTTACCGGCTCTCCTCTAGATCCTGCAAGTCCAGGGACCCCCTAAAAAAAACAGCACACAGGTGAGATACATGATGCATGTAATGAGAGTGTGTTTGAACGTGTTACTGCTAGTGGTGATTTGTCTTACGGGGTTTCCTTTCAGTCCAGGGACACCAGGTGATCCAGGACTTCCCCTCTCTCCCTGTGGAAGAAGCACCAGAGTTTAGCCTCCACCTTTCACCTCCAACATTCCTCAAGCCGTTTAACACGACCTCAGACCTAATATCTGTCTCAGAAAAGAACAAATATCCCGCGTCTGTGTTGTGATTTACCTTTGGTCCAGCCTCTCCAGGCGGGCCAGAGGGACCAGGTCTTCCAGGGCGACCGGGATCACCCTAAAGACAGGACACAAGCATACAGTTAGCAGAGTTTAACCACAGGTTGGATGGCAGACGAATTTTGTTTTAAAGGTCCAGTGTGTAGGATTTAGGGCAATATAGGGGCAGAAAAGGAATAAGGTATGTTTTCTTTAGTGCATAATCACCTGAAAATAAGAATCATTGTGTTTTCGTTACCTTAGAATGAGCTATTTATATCTACATAGGGAGCAGGGCCTCATCGACGGAGATCGCCATGTTGCACTACCATGTTTCTACAGTAGCCCAGAATGGACAAACCAAACACTGGTTCTAGATAGGGACATTGGCTTTTTCGTGTTTCTGTGTCAGCCACCATAGGTAGCAGCCCTTCTGCAAAAAAGCAGCGTCACCGGATCTGTTTGTTTTGGAGAGGAAGAGACCTCTACAGAAAATGTGGCTCCTGGTAAAAACCCTGCAAACATCTGGATCTTAAGTTACCAGAGAATAAAGGTGAGCACACATGAGCAGGTGCTAGGCAAGCAGCTTGTGTCTGATATGCCAAACAATGTTGAAGAAACACTGATTTGTAACGTGCAACTGCTTCATTCAGTGATTTTACCAATTTTCATCATCCAGTCTGTTTGTTTTGGAGAGGAAGAGACCTCTGTGGATAATTCTTGGGAAAAACCTCCTGAGCGTCTGGATCAGAAACAGGGTGAGCACAAATTACGTTATCAGAGAAAAAAAGGGGATCATACATAGCAGATGCTGGCGGAGCGGCTCATCTGTGACGTGCCAAACAGCACAGAAAAAAACACTGATTTGTAACGTGAAACTGCTTTATTCAGTGTTTTTATCGGTTTAGATCACAGGGTTCATTTGTTTTGGAGAGGAAGAGACCTCTGTGGATAATTCGGCTCTTGGAAAAAACCTCCTGAGCGTCTGGATCTGAAGTTATCAGAGAATAAAGGTGAGCACACATTAGCAATGCTAGGCTAGGCTGCTTCTGACGTGCCAAACAGTGTTGGAGAAACATTGATTTATAACATGAAACTGCTTTATTTAGTGTTTCTACCGGTTTTTATCACCTGATCCATTTGTTTTGGAGAGGAAGAGACCTCTGTGGATAATGCGGCTCCCGGTAAAAACCTCCTGAACAATGAACACTGAAGGAATTCTAACCGGGAGAAGTTTCAGCTGATTGCAATCTGCAATCCTCACCACCAGAGGCCACTAAATCTTACACACCGTTCCTTTAAGTGAAGAGCGTGTACCTTTTCTCCATCAGTTCCAGGGAAACCACGTTCACCGACATCTCCGGGGTGACCATCAGGACCCTACAAAGCATCAAACACACATCATAAATAGGCCAGAACACAACACAATATGGACGCACTGATCATTTGAAATCATGTTGAATGTCATACTCTGTCGCCTGGGTCTCCTTTGCAGCCGGGAGCGCCGATCCGTCCGATTTTACCCTGAAGACGAAGAGAGAAAATTACAAAACGTCCACTATGCTCAGCTTTACTAAGTCAGTAATGATTGTCAGTGGTGTTTTGTTTTGTCAGTCCTTACCTTCTGTCCATCTGTACCATTACGTCCTGGGATACCAGCCACACCCTGACGATGAAGAGAAGAGACAATTAGAGGTGGAAGACCAACTACTTTATAAAAATGAATGATAATTAATAGATTCAGTTGGATAATAATTCATAAATGGTCCTACCTTTTTCCCCTGAGTTCCCATCTCTCCCTGTGGGCAGACAGAAGATCAACAGTCATTTTATGTACGATCAATATGATGTGCTCCTTTATTAACAGACCAGAAATCATTATCGTTCCTCTACAAACCCAGTAATGCGTGCAAAGACTTCAGTCATGCATTGATGAATACAAAAGGAAAGTGATTTCTCACCTTATCGCCTTTGGAACCTGCTTCTCCCTACAGACGAGAAAACAGGAAAAGAAAAATCGTTTCAGGCTTTGTCGCATGGTAGTGAACGATGAATGATGGGCAGGTGGATGTTCAGTGTCTTACTTTGGTACCAGGCTGACCGATGGGACCCTCGATACCGGGGTCTCCTGGGCGACCTCTATCTCCTTTCAGACCTGGGTCGCCGTTGTCTCCTTTGGCTCCCTGCAGTCAACGAGTTGAAAGGAGAAAATATGTGTGAAGGTTAAAATGACTAGTGTGTAAATTCTGTGTGAGTACGTGTGTGTGTGTGTGTGTGTGTGTGTGAAGCTCACTTTTTGTCCTCTGTGGCCTTTTGGACCGCGGGGCCCTGGCGTCTCCAGACAGGACACTTTGTAACACTACAGGAAATGAAGACAAACAGTCAGCATTGACGCAGCCTGAAAGATAAACCTTTATGATCATTGGTTGTGTGTGCGTTCTTACCTCTACATATGCTAAATGTTTCTGTGAAGACAAAAGGAACAAGGCGTGAGCAGACGAAGTGCTGATTGTGTTTCATGCTTCTCTGTGTTTCTGTGGGTGTTTGTGCGTTACCATTGTTTTGGTGATGTTATTGATGGTGTCCATATGTGTCACTGGTCTGCCTGAGCTCAGATCCACAGCCATGAATTCACTTCTGTAGACCATTGCTGGAGAGTTGGCGATCTCCCTCAGCCCTGTCTCATCGATGTTATTCGATGCTGCCACGACAAACAACCGAATGCCCTCGTCGCGAGCCTTCTCTGCTGCCACTTTGATGCCTCCGCATGGGTTTCCAGTCACATGGCCATCGGTGATGATCACAGCGAAGCGCAGGGCACCTTTGTTGGGTGAGCCCCTTATTTCCTCGACCATCTTTAAGATGGCGCAGTCGGTGTAGGTGCCCTTACCCAGGTATTTGATTCTTCTGACGGCCTGAAATACGGAGGACAAAAAAATTACCTAACTATCAATAAATTAATAAATAAATGTCTATATGAATTGAGAAATTAAGAAATAAATATGGAAATAAATAACTATAAGAATAAATAAATGCTGAAATAAAAATGGAAATAAATAAATAAATAAAAACAAATAAATAAATAAATGCAGAGGTTAGGACCTCTGACATCATTAACTGACAGACACAGTAAATACATAAATAAAAAAAATGTAGTTGTTAAAAAAATGTAGAAATAAATGTACAGTATTTATTTATGCCCTGTTTAATTATTATCAGTTTTATTTACCTATTTATGTATTTATCTATCTAGTCTCATATTTTTTTTGACATTTATTTATTTTTAACTTATGCATTACTCATTTCAATATTTATTCCAGTGTTGCTAATTTATTCTTTTACTTTCTTATTCCTGTATTCATGTATATTTATATATATATATATATATATATATATCTGCATTGATTTAATAATTCCTGTATCTATCTTTACATTCATGTATTTCTTCCTTTCTTTTTTTTAAGATTTTTTTTTGGCCATTTTGCCTTTAATGGACAGGACAGGTAAGCTTGAAAGGGGGAGAGAGAGGGGGATGACATGCAGCAAAGGGCCACAGGCCCTGTATGTATTTATTCTTTAATTATTTTATTTCTGCATTTCTTATTTCAATATTTATTTATTATTTTATTTATTTCTATATTTCTGTATTTGCTTATTGCTATATCCATTTAGACCTTTATTTATTTATAGTTATTAACTTAAAAAAAATTCCTGTATTTATTTACACAATAATTAATATTTTTTTATATATACATTCACTCATTTATTTATTTCTATATTTATATTTAATTGTTATTCATTTTTTGTTTTTTCCTCATCCATTCTACAAACAGTGTCAAATGTGACTTGTTATGGTTTGATTACCAATCAGGAAAAGCAGGCAACTGCTCAGGGACCCAGGAACAGGTTGACATACGCAGACCATTCAGAAATACGCTTATTCGTTTTCTGGAGAACAGTTCGAGTAAAATTTCTCTCATGCGTGTCTGTTTACTATATTGTCGGTTAGTTGGCACAAAGACTAGTCTGGCTCCTTGCTTTACGGGGGTTATGTGCTGGACTATGTGTTAGCCACTTGCCAGGCGGCCAGCAGAGACTTCAGGAAGTAACTGCTCACAGTAAATAAACAGTCTGTATTGTTGCAATCTTGCTGCCGGTAGGTAGATTTATTTGAGATTCAGGCTAGCTGTTTCCCCCTGTTTCCAGTCTTTGTGCTAAGCTAAGCTAACCAGCTGTTGCTTAATATTTAACAGACTCTCACATAACCATAATCGTATGGATTTGCGTATTTCCCAAAATGTCAAACTATTCTTTTAATGAATGAATATCATTTTAATTCAGTTTTAAGATAGAAAACTGTAAGTGTGCTAACATTATAACAACCACTGTTCTTGGAATGAATGGTATTTGGGTTTTTTTTGTCTTTATTTGGACATTGCATAACGCATTTTAAACATGTTGGTATCTGGGATGTGTAGGCATATGTGTGTCGGCATTAGGGCTGGGCAATATGCTCTGAAAATTACATCACGATATTTTTAGGCTATATCTTGATATAGACATCTTGATATTTTTAAATGAGATTTTTGATGAATAATCATCAATAATGTGGATAAAAGGACCGAGTGGGTTAAGGCAAGCATTAAAATAAATAAAAAAGTCTGGTAAGCTTATACATTTACATCACTTTACTGTAATGCAGCCTTTACAACAAGATGAAAAAACACCATTCAAGCCACATCACGATATGATATCCAAAATCTATGACGATATATAGTCTCATATCTCGATCTGCCCAGCCCTAGTTGGTGTGTGTGTGTCACTCACACTGATGAAGTCATCCCTGGGTGCGATGGGACTGAACACTTCCTGTCTCTGGGAGTAGTGCAGTCCACCGATGTTCCAGCTGACCTTCACAACACCTCTGAGTTCTTCGTCTTGAAAACGCTGTGCAAACTCCTCGGTGAACTTCTACAAGGGCAAGACACGATACATTATACAACAACACAACAACATGGCAGCCAACTTCAGGGATGACGACACCGTGAAACGGGGCAATTTTGTGTTGATGAAATTGCAGGGGAACCTTGATGCCTTCCACCAGCGCTCCAGGAGGCGGCTCCTGCAGGGCGATGGTCTCAGATGTGTCTATGGTGAAGTACACATCTATGGCACATTCATTCGTCTCTGGAGGGAACACACACACAAAGCACATGTAAAACGACCATGGAAAATCACAAATCAATTAAATCAGCGGGATGAAATGTTCCATGTGATGTCACTTAAACTGTGTTAACATATTAACATGTCATGTTACTGCGGCTGTGAGGCAACAAGGGTTCACTTTTATGGCACTCACTGCTGCAACCTGTTGGCTGGCCATGGGTCAGGGCTCCTAAAAGAAGACAGAGCGCGGCGACCTCTAACCCCAGCATCTTCCTCTTCTTCTGTCTGACACATGAAGGCAAAAGACACACATCTGAGCTGACAACATGTTCATTTATTTCTCACTTCATCTCTTAAAATCAATAAAGTGAATAGAGAATTTGTGAAAAAGAAAAAAGGGTGCAGAATAGAAAAACACAGATGACAAGTTTTCAGCCTAAATCAAGAAATGACACAGTGATTATTTTAAAATAACCTGCATAGTCTATGAATACAGACCTTTCTCATTATTCCACATGCTTTATGATTTTGTCATGTAGTGAGTTGTAGTTGACTGCCAAAGTAATTTACAAAATAACTCAACTTTCTTCATCTGGATTCTGCATCTGGTATCAGTTTAAGCTTTACGACGAACAGTCTACTGACTGTTGCCCAGGGAACAAAATGGCTGCCACAGTTATGTAACAGGTTTGAAGGGATGGGGAGTTGAACATGGCTCTTCCCTCCTGTGTTTAATGGTGGAACTGGAAACAACAGAAGCTAGGAGAAGTGACTGATCATAACAAAGGCTGACATCTGCTGTGTTATGAATTATTAATGGAAAAACCTGGAGACAGGACTTAAACTTTACCGATTTTGGACCGGCTTTGTATCATAGAAATGTGGGTAGTACGTCTAAATGAACTGTCCCTCCATCTTACAATCTCCCTGCTCATCTCTCAGCTCAACCTGTGGATTTTTCGCTAGCTCAAAGTACAGATAGTGCTGCCCCATTTCTGCCAAGGAAACCATAAATTTCCTTGCTTTTTGGCTTTATTATAGTGCAGCTGAAGAGTGACAGGAAGGCAGGGAGAGAAAAGGGGGGGGATGACACTCAGCAAAGGGCCACAGGTTGGAATCAAAACTGGGCTGCTACAAAACTAGAGCGAACTAGAGGTCGCCCCAAGAAGCTATAAACTATGTTTGATAACACTTTACTTGAAGGTATCTACATAAGAGTGACATGACACTGTCATAACTATGACATGACATTCTCATGAACTTGTCATAAACATTATGTACGTCTTAAATGTTTATGACTGCTGTCATCAAGTATCATTCAGTATCTGTAATTTCAAGTTGACATTGTTGGGGTTGTCTTGATTATGACAACTTGACATTAATCAAAGTGACATTACCATGAGATGTCTTTGTCATGACAAGTTGACATTAAATTTGTTTGGGATGTCCTTATTATGACAACTTGACATTAACCAGGATGGCATTACCAGAAGATGTCTTTGTCTTCAATAAATGCACCTCTTTTTGTGTTTATGACAAGGTGACATAAGGATTATTATTGTCATGACAAAGACATCTTCTGGTAATGTCACTTTGATTAATGTCAAGTTGTCATAATCAAGACAACCCAAACAATGTCAACTTGTCATTACAAAAACCAAATGACACTTAATGACAGCAGTCATAAACGTTAATGACATGTACATAATGTTTATGACAGGTTATGACAAACACAAATTAAACTTTATGTAGCCTACTAGAATGATATCATCAATTGCTTTTTTAGTCCACTAGATACATTTTTCTGCAAATAAAATGGCTGAAGTGAGATAAACAGAGTTTAAAATCGCAATAATATTGTATCATAACTTAAGCATCGCGATAATATCATATTGTGGATCCTCTGGTGATCCCCACCCCTAGTGTCAGGATCCCACAGTTTTCCCATATCCTCCTGCTGATGTCTCACAACATACTGCTTAAAAGCTTACGTGTCAGTGCCGCAGCTTGTTAAAACTTAGTTATGGATTCTTTACCATGTTGGCAGTGCATCCCACCAAAAAGCAGCTGTTAGGAATTTTTGTGTTGTTTGCTGGCAGGTGTAAATGACATGGAGGCATCTTCACGCGATACAAAGTCAGTGGAGAGCAATGAATTATTTTCCCCTCCAGTAGGGGCGGGACTTGAATGCGCTCTGTGTTTGTGGTTACCTTGATTTTCGTATGCCCGCCACCACCTGACATAAAGAGTGCATTCGGAAATACAAACTGGACCCATCGTAAATTCAGAGCACTGTTGGAATGAACTGTAAAGTTATTTAGAACACGAACTTGGAGCAGCAGAATGTACTCTGAGCGCTCTGTCTGGGGAGACGGAGCAGCAGCGCCAATTGGAGTGAACGTGTGATTAACTTAACTGTTCATTAACTCATGTAGAAATTCGTGTAAGAGTAGAACGCTCTGTTTCTTCAAACAACAGGGCTCTAAAATTGAATTGACAGACATAACCAAAAAGTATAGAAGCAGATCGAGAGAGAGAGAGAGACCTGCCCCTGTCTCTCTTTTTTCTCTCAAACTGAGACCAAACTGTAAAACTAGACAGAGCTGAACAAATATATACTAAGATTTGATTACTACATTGTCTATTTCTCGCCTAAAATATTTCAGAAACAAATTTTAGTGAACTGTTTGTCTGTAATATAAGAATTTTTGAACAGGAAGCTGGCGCCATACTGCCCCATATTCCTGTATTGTAAAGATGCAGGCTGAAAAAAGTGAGATCAAACTGTTAAATTAAACATTGCAGATCAAATATGAACCAGGATTTAGTAAATGCGCTGCCTTTTTCTCACTTTAACACATCTTAGCTTGCCCTGTAACTGTTAATTGAGATTGTTTGTTAGCAGCCTGCAACCATATTGGATGAGAAACTTGCATTATGTCACCCATCACCAGGAGTGTTTATTGCTTTTTTGTTGGTTTTTCCTGGTCACATAGCACCACTTTCAAAAGTATTAGCATCTTTACTGCACAGACAGCCTAGTTTTATAAGAAAGATCATCTTTCCATCAGTGAAATACTTCTTTAACATGCCTCCAAACTTCAGTCGTAATCCATGGAAATTCAATCAGATCCAGTTAATATATACAGGCCCAAGGACTCACTGTTTCACCAAATGTGACCTTTGAGTTCAACGCCAAAAAATGGAACTAATTATCTTATCTACACAAAGCACCTCATCCTCACATGTCAAGGAGAAAATATACAAACACGACTTTGAGTGATGACACAAAATGAACAGACTGGATGCATGTGGCAGCAGAGAGCAAGCTGCTGACTGAATATATAAGACTCACATTTTGGTTTTAAACCACATGATTTCACAAGGCCTCAGTCTGCTGCCCTCCAGAGGCGCTCCCTGCCCTCGCAGAGAATCTTTGTTCACTGGCTGACATCGCCTGATTAAAGCTGCAACTTTTACAGAAATAATGTTTTGTCATATTTGCCGAAACTGTGACTACATCCACACAGTATTACATGAAACAGATAACGTGTGCTTCTTGCAAGAATCCACAGCACATTAACAAAAACAACCAGTCAGGGTTCAGGAGTCTCTAACGCAGCTTTCATTTATGTCAATCGCTGCTCGTGAACTGCGGTCAAACTGTGCAACTAGGTGGTGTTGATCAAATATGAGATCAGATTCTGTCAATGTTTTCAGAAACATATTTTAGTGTACTGTTTAGCTGTAAAATTAGAATGTTTGTGTCCTCTCATTTCACAGCTAAACAGTACACTAAAATATGTTTCTGAAGACACCTGAGGCAAAATATAGGCAATCCAGTAACAGAACTGTGATTGACAGGATTGACAGCTGTGTTAGAGACTCCTCGCCTCTGATTGGTTGTTTTCCAGCAGCTGGTGTAAATTCTAGCAAATGCCATTAAAAGCAGTACGAAGAGGAAGACAAACATAATTTGTCTCATGTGCTATCATGTGGATTTAGTGAAACTTTTTTAAGCAAATAAAAAAAGTTATTTTTATTGATGTTATTAACCAGTAAGGGGGCCCTTGCACTTTGTAATTTGGCTAAACACAAAGTTACAAAGGGATACGAATCATGTAAATCCAACAACTAATCATGTGGGACCACAACAAATAAACAATCAATTTAATAACCACAAACCAACCAGTTGATTCGAGGCCTTCAGGGCCCCTGAGAGTTGGGGCTTGGGACGGTGCCACTTTGCCTGATTAAAACTCCAGCCCTGCTGGCTGTGTGGGAGGGGAAGGCCTCTGGGGGGCAGCTGACTGCACTGACATCCAGTGAACACTGACACAAGTAGCAACATGTCAGCAAAGCCTTCAGCTGGTCTGATGTCTGTCCATCACTCTACAGCCAGCGTCCGGGACTGGATCATCTGCCAGCTGATGCCCACTGCAACATTTTTACACATCTGCACCCTAACAACTGGCAAACAAGTGAAACATCCCACTCTTGAGAAAAACTTTCATAATTCCCAGTGAACATACATGCCACCCCACAAGCCAAACAATTTGCCATGAGATTGTCATTTTTAACAATATTATCTAAAATTTAAATGCCATTTGAAGCCAAATGGCCTCACACCTGATGGTAGCTTTAAAAACACTTTAAGGAAAACTGTATTTTCAGACACATCATTTTAGGCCCTCTTAAAGTGCACACCGACCAACAGCCGCGCTCTGCTGTGGCTCCCTCTGGCGGACTGACAGCTGGGAGCTGCGGAGGAGTCGCTCCTGCAGATGTTCCCACTCCTCTCCCCATGTCCAGAGGACTGAGTGGGAGTCCTCATAGATTTTCACCACTGCACAGGTAAATATCATGCAAAGAAACATGCAGAGATAAAAGCGCGACTGGTAGAACTCATATTATATGTAACTAAGTTTTTTTTTTTGCTTTGGGAACTGGTCGGGGTTGCGTACTCAAAGTTTGGTTTGGCTGAGAAAAAATCCTCATTTCTGTTCACGAGATTAAGTTTGAAAACGTGCAAAGAGACAGAGAGAGGGTCAGAGAGAGAGAGAGAGAGAGAGACATGCAGAGCCACACAGGGGTAAGGAAGGACATAGAGAGGGAGACAGAGAGATTGGCACAATGTTGTGCGTAAAAGTGCTGCTTACCCGAACTCTCTCCAACAACTTCAAAACTTCGTGAGCAGCTGTTCCTCTGTTGACTATCTCCTCATCTCAGCAGGATGGAAAGCCGAGAAAGTAAAGGGAGATACGGGGAGGTAGAAAATGGGAAATAAAGCCCTGGATGCGCGTTTACTTCCCGCAGAAGAGCCGTCCGTTCGCTGCTCTCCTGTCCCGGTCCAGCCCCAGCGACCAGCTCTGATCCCTCCTCCTGTGCGCGCACGACGCACCCCAGTGCCCGCTGCTGTCCGCTTGGAGGCGCCATGGCTCCGCAGGAACCCGTGTGAGCGCGCGCGCGTGTACCCCCATGTATCACTGCCATGAGCCAGTAAAAGAGGATGCCAAAGCGCAGCTGGAGACTTCAACAGAATCCTTCATTGTAGATACATTAAAGTCCACAAACAGATTGTACTGTCCGTTTAGTATCAGGAGAAATGACAATTTTATGGATGTGGCCCTCAGTGGAACACATGGCAACCTGGTGGACACCATCTCATGTCCCCGGGATAGAACATCCAGGAGGTTCTCACAGATAATCTCATACATGTGGTGAGCCAGTTTGAAATAGAACAGGATAGAGAGTAGACTTAACCCCGCCATACACACACACACATACACATACAAATGGACCTCATTTGTGTCTGGTGATCTGGTTGCAATTAGTAGGCCGAGTGAGAGGAGTTTATACTTGATATAAACACTAGCAGACCGTCCATGAGTCTGCTCACCATGTTTATATGCATGTAGGTGCTATTTGTATGTGTCGGAGCATTGGTGGACATGGTGGGAGGTCTCCCCGTTAGAGGATTTACCATGTATGTACACATCTGTGAACATACTGACATCGACACTGAATGTAAAGCACATTTCTGGTCGTGTCATTGTTGCAGATCATGTGTTGGCTCAGGGCTGGCCCGAGACTTTTGGGGGCAGTAAGCAGGATTTGGTTTGTGGTCCCCCCCTCAGTGTTGTGTGTCCTCATGGCACTGAGTTACTTGTGTATTGGTTTGAGCACACATAATGTACAAATAATCAAGTAAAGACTAAAGTGGGACCCATTAGCAGCAACACTATCTTTAAATATGTTGGTGAAGACTGTCAGTCATCCAGGTCATGGTTATCTCCTTCAGAACTGAGGAAGCCTCTTGGATAAGAGGTGAAACGTCTTCAAGGAACTCTAGCAAGTCCAGTTGCCTGTGGTATAGCACTCAAAGAGATAGTTTGGATCTTCTGAAGCACGGTCCCAGGGATGGCATTGCCAGCAGTTGCAGTCTAAAGGCCCTGACACACCAAGCTGACGGTTGGCCGTCGGTCAAAGTCAGGCCGTTGGTGAGCGTCTGTCGGCCTAGTTTTTGCGGATTGAGCATGTTGAATCGGCTGCAGAGCTTGTCGGTGAGAGAGATCACTCTGATTGGCTGTTCAGGTTTTATTTCCTCGCCCCTGTAGCGAGTGAATCTGCCTCCAGTGAAACCGGCGCTAACTGGTGCTTCCTCCTCAGGCTCCACTTCACTCAGCTGCCCGACAGACCCGCTGCTTCTTCCCTCTCTAACCTGAATAGCCGCAGCATGACCGTAGGGAAACACAGCCAGTTAGCCTCCGCTACCCTTCCAGCTAGCCCTGGCTCTCTATTTGGATCCAACTGGAGCACCAAGCCCCGGTTTGTTATTCAGGTTAAAGTGGGATGAAGCAGCGGGTTTGTCGGGCAGCTGAGTGAAGTGGAACCTGTGGAGGAAACACCGGGACCGTCTGGAAGTAATAGTCCGTGTTCAGCTTCACAGATAGGAAACCCCTTGGCTGACAGGATGTATTACTCACTCACTCCGCTACTTTGTTTATCTCATGCGTTCCTCGGACTTCCGGTTTCCCTTTTTGCGTTTTTTCCTCTCACGCGGGCGCAGAACGTACGTGCTACTTGGCCGTCAGATGTAGTCTTTGTAGTGTGTTCAAATGCAACTGACACAGGGTGACGTGAGGCAACATAGACGACGCAACAGTTGGCTTTCGTTGCCGCTAGTTCTTTGATGTCGGTTTGGTGTGTCAGCACCTTAAGGTGTCATCCATCATGGGTCTCAGCCGAGTTGGGCAACTGGACAGGGCCCAACTAATTTCTTCCGGCATGCTGAGTTTGAGCCGATGCTGGGTCAGGTCATTTTGGCTACTTGGGGTTGTATGAGGTACTTATCAACAGTCAGTGTAGTACATACAGTAGACGTCAGTCGGCATGCCCTCAGTTTGGAGAAGCAGACTGGAGTACTGACACGGAAGCTAAGCAATGTGCTGCTGTGCAAGGGACAGCGGCAAAATGTATTTTAGCCACCTAAAAAAATCTATATAATTTTGAGTGACTGCAATATTGAGAGTATTTTCACCTCTTTATCTTTCCGTCAGACAGCCTGTTCTGACAGGGGAGCCGTTAACGGCGTCAATTACCCGTCTATAGTCTCGTCACCAGACTCCATTGACAAAAACTAATTTTAGCTCGCTGATCATGGGAGCTGCTGGTCCCCTCGCTACCTCAATCAGTTAGCTTGCTTGTGTTATTGTGTGACTTTGGTGAATCAGAACCAACCCTTTAAAACACCAAAGTCACACAATAATACAAACCAACCAACCATTTGAGACAGCATTAAACCAGCAGCTCCTGTTTTCAGCTATGTTAAATCTCTGTTTTTCTCAATGGAGTCTGGCTCCAAAGAGAGTGATGTAACGGCTCCAGTTCCCTGTTGGAAAGTGCTATCTGGCGGTAAGGTAAAGCAGTTAAAATATTCTAAATATAGCGTACACTTGGACTGATACAGATTTTTTTTTGCGTGGCTAAAATACATTTTGCTGTTGCCCCTGTCCACAGCAGCACATGGTGGTACTCCAGCCTGCTTCACCAAACCGGGGGCGTGCCTACTGGCATCTACTGTAGGTAATACACTGACTATGGATAAATACCTCAAACAACCCCACTTGATAAGATCCAGACGTTCCCTTTAAATAGACTACAGTACATAGAGTTTTTGTCTGTCAACCCCTTTTTACCACAGAATAATGGGAGTGATTGCTCTGTAGGGGACAGTAAAATAGCATTAGATGGTAAATTGTCCATTGTGCTTGTCTCTGAGCACATTGTTTCGTCACTATTTGTTGGCAAAAATGGCCATCAGAAGTCAAGTTTTTATTTCCTTATTGTCTCATATTCATTAAAAATCTTCTCTAGACCAGGAGGGCCCTTGGCAACAGCTTACATCTCCCAATGGGTAGGGCCGACTCTGTGTTGGCTGCTGTGCATATCAGAGTGTCCAATTTGCTTGAATTCTCTGATGCGGCCTGCAGAGCTGCCAATGCATTAACCAGCAACACTGCCGCTAATGTGTTATCCAGGCCAGGACATGAGAGGCGATGTTGGGAACAGGGGGTTTACATCCAAGTACACATCCGTTACATGAGAGGCTATCAGCGTGGAGAGGGAGACGAAGGGGTCGTTTGGGTCAGCTGAGTATGGCAGGTGCAAGAGACTGGAATTAATATCTTTGAGAATATCACATCAAAGGGGTAAAAGTTTGATCTGGACTGGTCATTGCAGGCGCTACATTTGCAGAGACGTGTTTATACATGCAAGTTTTGATGTTGTGGTCCCTCGTGCTTTTTAATTTAACTTCATCTGAAGGTATGGAGGGCTGTGATCAGTACAGAGGTGGTTGGAGGTGAGACAGCAGAGAAAAGAAAAGGAGGAGGAGGAGGAGGAGAAGGAGAAGGGCAGCTGCTGGCCAGAGTTATTACTCCGAAGCTGTTCTCTCTGTCTTGGCCCGGGAAAAGTTTTTCCTTAAAAAGAGAAGGAGAGGAGTGAAGCAGTGTGTGTGTGTGATGGAGAGGGGGGGTTCTGGTCTCTCTTAAAAGTGTGACTCATAGAGTAGGAATGACCTCCCTCCCAACTAAGAGTAAACCAGTCTCTGCCTCGCTTTCTCTCTGTTCCCCCTCTTCCTTTCTCACACACACTCTCCCTCACTCTTTAATTTTTTTCTTTCTTTCTTTCACATGGACTGAAAGAGCGTTTCAGTCTGGGGGGATTTCTGTATAATCAGTTCCAGAATCATAAACAGCTCGAGTCTCCCAACACCGCTGCAACGTCCCTCTTGCTGTTCCACGGAAAACACACAAGGACTGACTCAATTCGCTTCATATGCAAAACCGCACAGACAATAAAAAAACAAAACATAAAAGCAAAGCGAGTATATGCATACAATTTCCACAAATCCACACAGTCAAACAGCACATGTTCATGCTATCTGCAGCAGATATGACTGTCTGCGTATGTATAGGAGTGACACAGCTCTCCCAGATGTTTTCCACAGCAGCTCCTGACTCTGTTTATATGTTACGAAGAAACAAAAAAGGATATTGCATTCAGCTTATGATAAGATAAAATTTACTCCTCTTTTCCTTTGCTTCTTTTTGGAATCTTTTCCCCTCCTTTCCTCCAGATGTGCTTTCTGTTCAGACAAGGCAGCTGGGAGTCGTTACCCCAGTGCATCATGAGCACACACACACATACACACACACAAGGTCGTGCACACATCATGAACACTGGAGGTAAAGTCCATGTGCAAAACTTATGTCACTACCAGTGAATTTTGGTGGAAAAAGGTTGTGCTGAGGTCTGAGAGTAAGATGGTAGTGAGAGGTCTAATCGCAGCGACTTCAGAGAAGAGGAGGGAGGAAATTGGTTTCAGGAAAACTTTAGAGGAGCCAAGACAAATTTCTGAGGAACAGTCCCCCCCCCCACCCCACACACACACACACACACACAAATCAAACAGATACATACATGCTGTGAATGATGCACAGAAATATGCATCAGCATGCAAGTGGGCACACCCATGCACACAAACAAACACACGCACAAAGGGTCTCGGTGGAACGCGCTGATAAGTGCGACTTTGGCTCCGGATCTTCAAAAATGACTTTGAGACAGGAAGAGATGTATTAAACAAGGCAAACACATGCAGTGCATGTACGTGCACGCACGCACACAAGCATGCACACAGCACAGATCAAAACAGTGGCTCAAAATCAGGACCACAGGAAAAAAAAGGCAGGAAAGTAACTCAAACCGAGACAGTTCCACTGAAATTCTGCCGCAGTCTGAGTGTGAAGGTTTAATATAAAACACGTGTGACTCTCATTGAGCCACAGAGAGGAAGACAC